TTTTGCGCGACAACTCGCGTGCACACGCAATCTTTCGCGATCGCGCGGCCGCGTCCTACATTATCCCCGAACTCGACGGTAACTTACTTCTTTGCGGATAAAGCGTCTCTGATATATCGCGATATTATTAATTGGCCCCCACCTTGAACATCTAGTTTTTCACAGCGATCGACTCTTACTCTCTATCCTTCTAGTCGCTGAAAATAGATAAAATCTATTATCTAAGATATGTGCTTCACGCTACGTGCATTCCCGCAGCAAAAATTCGATTTGTTTATGAATGATTGTCTTACTAAGTACAGAATTCATTTGTCTGTTGTTTATCGTTAGATCGATGCGCGTGTATATCGATATCACGTGCTTGACAATTAGTGACATAACACTCGTGTGTAAATAGACCGTATCAAAAAGAAACTCCTTTATCCTTTCGCAAATTTCGCAACAAACAAATATTGAAAAGATCAATTGAACAATATTGGCGAATGAGTGCGGAAGATCTCATCCAAGATGGCTCGAATCTACTGACTGGTGGAGATTATGCAAGTCCATAATACTGGATAGTAAAAGTGTGCAGTCTAACAAACACACAGACATTATATTAGGAATTGTCAGGTATCCTGTGTCGAAAACAAGCATTTTTCACTCGCCAAAATCTGTTTTTTTTTTCTTAATATTGATTTAGGTAAACGAGAAAGCACACACTCCAAATTCCTACAAAATACGGACACGGAAAAAAGATATGATGCGCATATCAGAAATATTTAATATTTAATTGTGAGCAGTATAGTCGTATCAGTTTTTATGTGATTGTATAGTGTACGATTAATGTAACTCTGTTACTTTGATACATCAATGTAGTTACACGTAATCTGGTTGTGGTAACTAGAAATCGATTGTAAGTGATATTTACTATGGATACACTCTGATTACGAGGCAACCAAATATCGTCATAGCTGCTACGTCGGTAATTCAGCAATTGTTCTGTGATTGCAACAACCATATAATTATTTGTTTCGTCTTTTATTATTAAGTCTGATTGGCGCAACTATATTGTTTTCTCCGTGCAGGAAGAAAAAGACATATCCATAAAATGACACTTGCAATCGATTGAAAAAACTTGTAAAATAGTTAATAAATATCTGTTATCTGTTATATTACTGTTATCTTCACTTGAGGAGTAACAAATCCTTACAATTTACGTTCTTTGTTTCACCAAGTTGTGGAGACTTATTACTTAGAATTCGTTGCTTCTCATTCTGTATACGTGCATTCCATATATACAAAATAACGGTAAAATTAATGATTATATTTATCAGAGTTACGAAAAAATGCAATTGCGTTACCGTTACTGATACTAATAAAAAAGAGCAACGTTGTTGCTTGCTTTATTTGTAACAATGATGTTGTTATAAGCAACGTGTTACTTTCCAACTCTGATAAAGGTATAAACAAATATTAAAAAATATAAACAAATATAAACGAATATTTAAAAATATAAATAAATATAAACAAATATTAAAAAATATAGGAAATAACAAATATCATTATCATATATACATATATAAAGCAATTAATTATGAACTAATAGACAATAAATTATAAATGATTGTAATTCATAATCAATGAAGAATCACAATGTAGCATTCAAACAAAGAAAGGAAGAGATTTTCAGCGAACGGAAAAAAACAATCGAGTTGGAATGATTTACTAAAATGAAATGTTCGTCTAAGTCCAACTTCGCGCATCGATCTAACACTTCCCGCATTCTCTATCCCAGCAAAAGCCACTCGAACCGGTCGAATCGAACCGGTTATCGATCATCACGTTATAACAAAGCGTCGTCGCCGTCTTCTCCGTGCCGGCTTCCTTCCGGACGTCCGGCTGCGTTGCTTCTCGCTTAGCACCGCGCATACGAAGAGGTTCTCACGGTGGAGCGCGATCAGCTGCCGCAGGCGATTCCGCGCGATCCCGGTTTGCGCGGAAATATCGTCGAAGCCGCTGTCCAGTCTGTCCAGGTTGCCGCTGATGTTCGCGAGCATGTCGAGCAGCAAGCCGTCCCTCTTGCGTGTCTCCAGCGCCAGCCGCTTGCTGACTAGGAAGACGGTCAGGCCGACGACCATCAGCACCGTTAGCCCTAGCAAGCTCCTCTGTATCGACGACGTCATTTCCGGGGGGTACCTGACGCCTCTTGCGCTCTCATCGCATCTGCGACCCAAGTGTGTTTCCGTGAGAAGTGGACAGATAAAGAGAGAGAGAGGGGGGAAGGGGGGGGGAGGGAAGAGAAAACAGAGAGAGAGAGAAGTAGAGAAAAATCCGAGAAGGATTTAACGGTCTTAGCCAATCGGAATAGACGCACTGGACAACATGACGATTATTACCGGATATTACAGCGATTACTCGACACTCAGAAGCGGACGAGCGTCTAGCGGCGCGACTTCCACCTCGCGACGCGCGAAGAAGAGGCAGCAACAGCAGCAGAAGATGATGAAGAAACCGCGAGTCAGTCAGCAACGAGAACAATTTCCAACGAACGTTGGCAATGAGAAACTCGCGAAGCGGAGTTCCCCCGCGTTCAGGGGAATCGCCATCGAAGAACGAGCCTTCTTTCGCGAAGAGACAAGTGACGGGAGTGACACTCCGCACGAACCTTCTTCATCGCCGGAGGCGAAACCGGTCGTTGACGCCTTCCGTATCTTCGCCGATGAGTCGCGCAGTCTCTCCGCGCTTTCCCACGACTCGGTCTCTCACCCGCAGGATGCATCAACGGGAACCCGATCGCGACCCGTGCCGGTCGATCGCGATCGAAGCACAGACGACGGTACCGCAGATACGGCGGATACGCGAATCCAACGACGAGTGGAAACCACCGCGCTTTTCCTCAGCATCGGCCGTGGCTCTTTTTCTCTCTCTCTCCGAATACCCTCTCGGTTTCCGTTCTTTTTCCGGCACGGGCGCCTACGTTTTTTATCTATTATTAAAGGCGAGGGGCGGCATGCACGACGGAGCCTCGGCATGCCACCCGTTTCGCCGCCGCCCGTCGGACGATGAAGCAACGACGGAGACCACCTAGTACTCTTCCGGACGAACTTCTCCTCCACTAGGCTGGATCTATCTGGACGACGACGATCGACCAAGTCCTCACGCTCCATTTACATCCGTCCCGCGCTCACCTCAGCCCCATGTGCAATTGTCCATAATTGTGTCACGTCCGTCAACGCGCCAGCGTTGCGACGGGACGACGTGTGAATTTTTAGGTACTGACAACAGTGTCCTTAAGGCTCTCCACGAAGTATTGCTATCTTTGTTGGGACTCTCCGAAACGAAGATCGAGAAGCCCCACGATTGATCACGATCAGAATTGTATCGTGTGAAATTGATTGTGTGAAACCATGTTCTCTTGGTTGCATCTTGTAGTACGCGGGAGGATCAGACAGCTTCCTCGAACTTGTGGCAATTCTCATTGATTATTAATGCATCACTTTTAATTGTTATATCGAACAACCGCTCAATAAGTCTACCAGTTTCACAATGGGTCGTTGATCGAGTGATCTGTCAGGTTTCTCGATTATCTCAGAGAGGCATGGTCGACTTTTTCTTCAGATTTCCTGGCGCTAATACTTCAAGTTACACAATTGCACAAAGGTTCAAGTTAAGATACATTATTACGACTCACAAGAGAATGAACGACATTCAAAGCTTAGCAAAAAACAACTCGCACAATCGGCCTGATTTCTCGATGAACTCAATGAAGCATGGTCGGCTTTTTCTTCAGACTTCATGGCCTTAAGTTACACAATTGCACAAAAGTTCAAGTGAAAGTATATTATTGCGCTTCACAAAAGAATGAACGGTACTCAAAGCTTGGCAAGGAGTAACTCGCACGATCGGCCTGGTTTCTTGATAATTCCGAAGAAACGTGATCGGGTTTCTCTTCGGATTTCATGGCGGATAACATCTCAAGTTAGATGCACAAGAGTTCAATTTAAAGTATGTTATACACACAACTCGATTCACGACGAAATGAATAATATTCCAAGCTTAGCGAAGAGCAACTCGCGCGGTTAACAATGCGTTAAGGTCCATAAGTAATACTGAATGACGACTGAATATTGCACCTCTCATGGACGCGAGAGCGCCTCGGGATCTCATTCCGCACCACCAGACTTTCGGCGTCGGACGTGACGAGAGTCCACCGTGCCGAGCCGTTCGTGAGCAGCCCTGGCTTGTGAAACTCGAGTGCGTCTATCGCGTGCTACGTCACTCCGGAGCACTGATGTGTGCACGTGGCGAAACATCCGAGCGTGGAAACGCCACGATCGAACAACCGCGAGGACGCCGCGAGCCGCGTCGCCGCTCGTACTTGTTGAACGTTGCGAGCTCGGACCGAGACCCGACATTCGCGAGAACACTCGCTCCACGTGTAGGCGCGGTCGTCTCATCCCCGAGGGCGCGCGGCCATCCCCGAACAACCCCGACGAGCATCTTCAGGGACGTAAACTCTTGTCCTACACCCACAGGTCTCGATCATCTGGTTGCCACACATTGCCCAAGTATCTCGCAACATTTATTTCGATATATATTAATAACTCCATGTTTATAATTTAATTTAATTCATCCCTTTCCTTCTGTCTCTCTCTCTCTCTCTCTCTCTCTTTCTCTCCTTCTCTCCCTTCCCCCTTCTCTCTCTCTCTCTTTCTTCTTTTCGCGCGCTTCTTTGATTTCTTCAAGTTGGATGTTGGATTTTGATCTTGCGTAAGTTTCGATGAACCCACTACAGAAATAACGAATCAGCTGAAGCAAAACAATGACGATGATTCTGTTCACCGGGGTGCGGTCGAGAGACGCTCTTCGCGGTAGCGGCCTTGGTTTCCTGACCACAGGAGCCAGGTGAGACACTCCCGCGGTCGATGCCTTGTGACGGACGCTGGGAACGATACTGAGAGATCGAAAACAACCGCGATCCGGCGTGTGTGCACCGTGGTAATCGGCGCATGCGTCTATTAATCAATAAGGGATACCCTTTTGTTGCAGCCGATATCAGATGACTTTGAAACGTCGTGGCAATTCGATGTCGGAACTTGCTTCTTGAACTCTTTTCTTCTTTCTCCTTTCGCCGTTCGTACGTTGTTTTGATTGGGGTTGCCGTTCTGTTCTTGGCGGTTTCTAAGGTCGATCCGGCTCGCTCGCTTATCACTGACTAAAGCGGCCACTCCGGCGCGTCGAGTGATGGCGTTTCCTTCAATGAAACCTCCGTATACTTCTGTAGGGGGAGAAACCTGAAAAGAACACGACGAGAGTCACGCAAAGAACACCACAAAAGAAACGTCGATCGTGATAAGCCGGGTAGTATTTTATGCGCGTGTAATGAACACGAGCAATCACCGTGCCATTCCACGGCTTCTCGATCGGTGATGAAAAGACGACGAGGCGAAATTGAATAGTCGCGCATATGCCTAACGAGCGAGATGAGATTCTTACTTTTATCGATGTAATCTTATTCCGGTTTATAAGAAGTTAGATATAGCGCTATAGAAATTACATTTTATCTCTGCAACATTATTATATGATTATCGCGTGCTGAAATATGTAAATATAGTAAAACAAAAGGATATGTCCATAAAGAGATAAGATCGATCAAGCATATTTGATTTGTGAAATATTTCAAAAACTTTGCTTTTGTTCTGGCAATCAATAAATAACTTTAAAATTAACATGACATGCAATCTATATATATATATATATATATATATATATATATATATATATATATATATATATATATATATATATACAGGGTGTCCCACCACTACCGCAGTATCTCTTAAGGACTGATTCCGCTCAGGTACGATACAACACACAATGATACAGGTGCATGCACATAAGTGAAAATTTGCATAAGATATGAAATTAGTTGTAAATCTCTGAAAGAAACGTCAAATGCGTGACTGCTCATTGATTCTCATAAATGTATTGTGTGATATTTTATTCATAACATTTTGACGAAATTATTATTTGCGATATGTTTATTTAAATGATAGGAAAGATAGATTATTATTAAATACGTTGTTGTATGTAAGGAACTTCCGTATTAATATTTGGAAAAGGGACGAGATGTGCATGCACGTGTATCATTGTGTATTGTACCTGAGCGCGCGTACTTTAGCCAGTATAATTGGTCAACTTAGTCAATTTTGTTTATAATTTGAAAAGCATTATAACCTCGCCATTTTTGCATTAGGATTTTTTTATTCAAATTACCTCAGGAATTTGCTTTTAAAAGATAATGCGATAGTGGCGGGACACCCTGTATATATATGTGTTGTGAGTGGCTGGGTATGGTGTAGGCGTGAGTGTGTATGGGTGTGAGTGTATGTGAGTGTATGCGTGCGTGTGCATGGATGGATGGATGCATAAATGATTGGATAGATGTTTACGATGATAAGTTACGGAACAGATAAGGACTGAGAACCGTCATATCACACCCACCCACACATACATGCGTACACACACACACACACACACACACACACACACACACACATACATACACAATTTATATATAATATGATTATATATAATACGATTTGGAATAAGAAGAGTAGCAAAAAAAACGTTAATTTACTTATGTAAAAAAAATATAAGACTACTTACTTATGTAACAAAAATATAAGACTTGATTTATATCGACGAACACACATATAGGAGTTATTATATTCATAGAGAAAATTTAATTTTATATATAACAAAACATAATCTTGAATCCACAAACAATTAACATTGATTTTACCAACAACAAGCAATATATATTTTCACTAATGTTTTAATTTATGATAACAAATATATTTATATAGAAAAATTATTTTTCTATACTGCAACACAACTTTAAACTCACGAAACATCAATATAGATTTCTCTATAGTGAATATATTTTCAATAATGTATATAATTATATAATGTGTAATATACATAAAATATTACTACATTATAAACATTTATATTGAAGAATAATATGTTCATTGGGGCACGCCGAGTTTTTGATTCTCGATGTTAAGGGGATGCCGGACATGAAAAAAAACATTGACTTTTTTCTGCAAAGTTTATGTCTAGTTGCTTGCACGGAATTACAAGCGCTTTTACACAACAAAAGTACACGCAAAAATAAATTGGAGCATTGCTCAATATGTGACGAAAACGAAAAAAATTTATATAAATTTAAATTTTGAGCTGTCAGTTAGTGCAACATTTATTTAATACAAACATTCTGCAGGTTGTACATACTGAAACTGTGAATGCTCCAATCAGGAAAAGTTCAAAAATCACTACTACACTTTCAAAATTTAGTTTTGATGCCAAAGAAGATACAAAAAGTTTGCAGAAAAGTTTACGAGAACATGCGGTTAAATATTCCGACAATTATGATAAAGTAGAGTGAAAAATTAGTTCACGGATATTTTTCGAGATGACACCGTAATCTTATCGCATATTTCACAACGTCGGAATATTCAGATTATACATACACACACACACACACATAAATATATATATATATATATATATATATATATATATATATATATATATATATATATATATTTCTC